TTTAGTTACGTGGGAGGTATAATTAGCTGTTGTGAAGCGGTTTCGTGACAAGTGGCCACTTCATGATGCTGTCTTTTTTGTCTTTCTCATCCATTTTTTTTACTATTATTTTATGATAGTGTTTATAGTGTAGTTAAGCCTATAAACAAGTCGAGCTGAGCTCGAACTTAGGCTGATTGAGCTCGAGTTTGAGGCTTGACTCGTCAAATAATGAATCAAAAATCGAGCTCTAGCTCGGCTCATTTATCATTATTAACGAGTCGAGTTCGAGCTTTAACGCATTGAACAATAAAAAATTATATAAAAATTCTCTTTTCGAATTTTATCAAATCGAGCCAAGTTCGGCTTATAAATCAAACGAGTTTTAAATGAGTTTGAGTTCGACTCGTTAAGGCCTCGACCTCGAGCCGAACTCGAGTCTTAACAAGCTGAGTCAGACTCGTTTAATATAACAACACTACGTGTAGTTATCGATTTTTTATGGAATTATTAAATTTTTCATTATTGAATGAATACATATTTTTATTGGTATGTGTGTTGGTCAAATAATAAAAAAGTGCACGCAAATATGTATTGATCAATTAATCAATCAATCAACAAGTTGTTAAAATCTCATTAAGTGGGATCAACTATATGAATCACATGTCGTCATTGTGTTCGATCGAAACACCTATCTATATTCAAATTTAAATATTTTTAATTATTTTTTATGGTCTCTTTCCAAATTGTTTTCTATATACCCATCCCTTTTAATTTGTGTTCTTAATTGTAATGTTTTTAGTTTTTTACGCTTCTCACCGGTGTTTCGAAGTCTCTCCTACGCTCATACTCAAACAATCTTAATCGAGATTCTCTCATTTTCTCCTCTATGGCGCTACCCTAACTTTATTTATAATACTTTCATTTTTAATCTCATCTACCTAGTACGACCACACATTCATCTCAACATTTTCATTTCTGCCGGTCGAATAGTTGTTCGATAGAACTTGCCTTTCAAGCTCACTGCTACTTTATGATCACAAAGTATCGACGATGTGCTCCTCCACTTGTTCCAACTCAATTGGATTCTATGTGTTATGCCCCGTTTCTTTTTAATAAGCTTAGCATCTCATTTCATTCCATTGCTCGACTTATCATTTCATTTCATTCCATTGCTCGACTTAGTTTCTTTATCTATATGTGTAACGCCCCGTTTTTTTTTAATAAGCTTAGCATCTCATTTCATTCCATTGCTCGACTTAGTTTAAATCCCGATTCTTATTTCTTCTTTTGCGCCCTTATTTATTTCATTGCCTAAGTGCTATGTATGCTTAAGTGAATTATATGCTTTAGTATTTTTTTGTGTTTATTTATGTGTTAATGGTTTCAATTGATTTTTTTTGCTTAAGTGTTTAATTTTTCTTTTTCTTTTAGAGAGAACTTATAAATTGGAATATCTCCAAGGATCTAGCGGTGGATAGGAGCGCTTCTCGCTATCAACGTGCCATAGCCGTGACTTTTGCTCATTTCTCTCTCTCTCTCGTTTTTTTTTTTTTTCGATCTCTCCCTTTCGGTTCGAGTCTTTTTGTGTTTCTCTTGGGTTTCATCTCTAGCCTACCCCAACTTGCTTGGGACTAAAGGCTATGTTGTTGTTGTTGTTGAAGTGTTTAATTGTGTTATGTGCTATAAGTGTTTAATTTAATTTGCCTTAGTCCTTTTGTGCTAAGTGTATTTATGCGAATTATATTCTTTGAATTATGTGCCCAATTTTGTATTTATATGCTAAGTGTGTTTAAGTTGATTAATGTGCTCAAGAAATTATTTGATAATGTGCCTAAGTGATTTATCTGATTATGTGCTTAAGTGATCTTTTTCATTGCCTAAGTGCCTAATTTTAATTTGTGCCATTTTATATTGCCTAAAATTTGCCTAAGTGTTAAATTTAATTGCTTATGTGTTCAAATTATATTTTATCATTTGCCTAAGGCCTCTATGTGCTAAGTGCTAAGTGTATTAATTGGAATTTTGGTGCTATTTGTCATTTTATCCCAAGTAAGCTTAGTACACTAGTCCAAGCTCCCAACAGGTTCCATCATTTTCTTTTTAGCCCAAGCCCACAACTGGGCCTAATTCTTCAAATCTGGGCCCAATAGTTTACTTAAGCAGCAGCCCTCAATATGCTTGTATTGGCCCAAAAGCTTGACCCCAGCAAAATAATAGAAAGTAAATGTGGCAGCCCACCTCGGCTACTCATCATCTCCATTCTCCAGTAGCCCTCTCTCAGCTCGGATGTACCAGTCGCCACCAGCAGAACGAGCGGCACTAAGCCCTAACAATTTCCGCTAATCTCGACTTTCTCGTACCGCACGTTTCTCCCCCAGCAGCCCTAATCTCCATTTATAAATTCCTCAATAATCAGTAGCGGCCACCCGGCTTTTCCCCAATTATTCCAAATCCCGCCGTCCCTCTCTTGGCCATTAGCACCAGCCGGCGACGTGAAATTAATACCCACCGACTGACGTTCAGAGCTCCGATCGGTGACCTCAGTTTCATGGCAACCGCGTCGTCCGACTTCGAGCAGCGAGATGCGACCTCGAGCTCCATTTTCCAGCGAGAAGGCCAGCGCACGACGGCGACCACGAGCCAGCCTTTCACGGTGACCCGAAACGACCGAAGCTCCTGGTTTTCCGGTGAGCATCTTCTATCCGCGTCTGAAACATCACACCCAAGCGCGCCGGCAGATTCGAACATGAGAGTGAGCCATTTCGAGGAGAGGACCGACTCCAGCAACACCTCTGCCTGAACGACCCTGAGACCGAAATTAGCAGTCGCAGCCGAGCCTTGAGAAAGCCTCCGCCCGAGCCTTCATTGTCTCCATTTTCAACCTCCGTCGAAGGTAACCGAGCTGAGTCGTTTTGTCCATCTTATTGGCTGAAATTGGATGGTATTTACATGTTTAAATTCAGTTTTTGAAAACTAGAACGCAGGCTTGGGTATTTGAGATAAGAGGTGCTCGAATTGGGTATATTGTGCCATGGTGGATTTGTGTGTTTGGAGGCTGCGGCTTTAGTCATGCTATGAACTGAGAATATCTGAATTTTGAGGAGTTTATTTCAGTCTTTATTTATGAAAGCATGCCTAATTATATGAGAAAAGGGGGAGCATGAGAAAGCAGGTCATGTTTGATATTTTTGCCTTGTTTATTTTTCATTATGTTAAAGCTATTGACATATGTAATGATTCTAAGGCTTGATTTTTAGTTTTGGCCTAATTTTAATTGAATGTGTTGAGCCTCTGTTTGTGGAGTTATTATGCTAAATATGTTGTTATAATATGAGTTTGGAGGTGCTAATGTTCAGCCAGGTTCAGTTACGCATGCTTATATTCTTGTTAGTTGTTGTTTTAGAGAGAACGAAGTCTTTGGATATCAATTTATTTAGCATGAGTTTATACTTTATTTATGAGTAAGAATAGTTGAGTTAGCCGTTGGGAAGATCCCATAAGCACTTAAGTAAGTTGAATTACGTTGAGATCAAAAGAGAAAAACAGTTTCAGTAGAGTAGAGTTAAGAGTTAGTAGAAGATTTAGAAATTTATGTGCTTTATTTGCTTTTAATTGTCTTAATTGTTTTCTTGCCTTATCTGCCTTATGCACTTGATTGTCCTTGCTTGACCTTACTTGTCCGTGCCTGTTTGTCAAGAACATTTGAATTGACAACTCTAATCAAGCCACCAAACACAGAATTGCAGAATTGCAGCACATCAAACTATTTTTCCACCGTATACTATGAATTACAGCGAGCAAAGCATGAACAGGAAAACAGATGTCGGAATTAAAAAAAAAAAAAATAGACAGGAAAAAAAAAACGAAGAGAAAAGCAAATGCTTGCACCTGCGCCGGAGCTCCTCCTCTACCCGGTGTAAAATGGTTGGCAGCCGGCCCGCCGCCATCGGAAAAGCGAGCCAAAACCTCTTCCTAGTCGATTGTAATTACTTTATCCGCAACCTTTTTAACTTTTGCTTTATGTATTTTACAATGAATAAATAACTAATTTATAGATATGGATAAATTGTAAAATTACTATGATAAATTTCAAAAATCTATTAAATACTTATTAAAAATTTATATTATTATTTTTATTTCATTTATAGTTAGAAAGATATAGATAAATTTTTATTTTATATATGTTATCGATGTTGAATAAAAAATCGTCAAATTAATTAATTTGAAACTTAAAAAAAAAATCAGTCTTTTAAGTATATAAATTTGAATTATAGATATCATAAAATGTATCAAATGACTTTATAATATTGGAGTTCCCAAATTCGAAGTTCTTGCTTTGATGATCCGTTTTTTTTTTCGTCGGTCGTCCTAAGAGGTCAGTGCTTAGCCGATGAGGATTTTATTTTATAGTTAGTTTAATTTATTTTGTTAATTAATTGTTTTTTATAGTTAGTCTGGTTTATTTTGCTAGTTTGTTGTTTTTGTTTTATT